AAATGGTTCAAAAAAATTTTTAGTTTTAGTTTAATCAGAAACTTTGCCACAAAGAAATATTTGTAAAATAATGATATTTCGGATCGTGAAAGATCGGGTAAGGCTTTTTGATGATTGTGAAATGATCGTGAAAGATCTGTTACCTCTTATTCTTTTTGCAAAAATCCATGAAAACTATCAAATCATTTTTTAAACACATGATAATATGTATTTGTAATTGTTATAGCAAAAGATTGGATTTACAGGACTTATTCCGCTTCACTTTTGTTTGAGAATAGGGCTATGATAGTTTAATGATACTGGATCTGATTAGTTGATAATACTTCACCGACTATAGTTGCCTTATAACAATATAAGTCCGTCTGTCCGTCCTGAATAAGTTTTATGTTGTATGAAGAGTTAAGATGGTCTCATATGATTTCCATTAATTTTGATGCAGTCATATCTATAAAACGAAGACCCTTGTTGATTTTTGTAACAATTGAAAAAAAAAAAAACATTGTTTGAAAAAAAAAAAAATCAGGAAAACAACTGTCATATTCCGGACTTGTCAAAAGCATTTTCCAAAGAAAATTGTGGGTTGAACCTGGTTTTCTAGCTAGTTAAAACGCCCCCGTGTATGACAGTTGTTTAATGTTCCGTAATATTGCTGAATTGGGTCCTTAACCAAAACAGACATAACTGGTTAACGTGGTCATAACTGAGATCCAGCAGCCAAAACTCCGTAAATATACATTGCAGACATACAACACAACTGAATTAAACATTCAAACATACTTACAATCAAATCAAACAAAGGCGCCTACAAAACAAAATGTTTGTAGTTGATAATACTGGCAGTATAGTAGATCATGACATATACACTTTCCCGATAAAATACAAAATAAGTAAAATAGAAATACAAGGGTATACATAATGAAAACAACACTACAAAAACCTCATGTCCGAATCGCATCTCTGGTCCCATCCGCATGACGAACGCCAAAAGCCAAAAGCCTGAAAGCTGGATAAAATTGAGAATGGAAATGGGGAATATGTCAAAGAGACAACAACCCGACCAAAGAGCAGACAACAGCCGAAGGCCACCAATGGGTCGTAAATGCAGCGAGAAAATCCCGCACCCGGAGGTGGTCCTCAGCTGGCCCTTAAATAAAGTTGTGTGCTAGTTCAGTGAAAATGGACGTCACACTAAACTCCAAAACATATAAATGAACTAAAATAAAAAACATACAAGACTAACAAAGGCCAGAAGCTCCTGACTTGGGACAGGCGCATAAATGCGGCGGGGTTAAACATGTTTTGTGCGATCTCAACCCTCCCCCTATACCTCTAGCCAATGTAGAAAAAAGAAACACATAGCAATACGCACAGTAAAACTCAGTTTAAAAGAAGTCCGAGTCCGATATCAGAATAGGTAACAAAAGAAACTAAGCAAAATGATAATGATACATAAATGAACAAAGGACTACCAGCAGTTACTGACATGCCAGCTCCAAACCTCAATTAAACTGATTGAAAGATTATGTCTTCATCATATGAAAATCAAGTACAATCCCTCCCGTTAGGGGTTTAGTATCATACTATCATAAAATATATGAGAAGAATATAACCCGTATCATGCCAACAACTGGTTTTAGAATAAATGTGTTTATTTCCGATGCAAAGACCCTATGAGTAAATCAACATTAATACCAAAATATGCAATCCTTAATGACTTGACAACAGTATCGTAACTATATCCTTTCCGAATAAGTCTGTTTAAAGGTATGGTTAGCTTTTGAGGTGAATGCCGACATTTTTGTGCTTTGTAAAGAATATTACCTTAAAATATTGGATGTGAAATACCTAAAGAACGTATAAGATGTCTGCATGTTGATTTATAATTACAAATGATGTCCTTGTACCGATGATAAACTTTTGTAAATGTTTTGACTAGTTTGTGATATCGAAAACCCTGGTGTAATAATTTTTCAGTAATACAGAGATTTCTTTCGTTGAAATCAAATACGTTGTTACATACACGAGCAAATCGAACAAGTTGAGATATATAAACACCATAAGATGGCGACAAGGGAACGTCACCATCTAAAAATGGATAATTAACAATAGGAAATTAAAAATCATCTCTTTTATCATAAATATTGGTATTAAGTTTCCCGTTAAAGATAAAGATATCAAGATCCAGGAAAGGGCAGTGTTCATTGTTAGTATTAGCTTTATTTAAATTCAGTTCGCAGGATAAATCTCTTTAGTGTACATACTGAAATCTATAACTCAAGACCACCCTTTTTGTTTGTGAAGTAGATCCTGAATATTTATTTATTATGTTTTGGCGTTTTCCAATGAACTTTTTGAAAAAAAGGACAAAACGTTCTTTCACAAAACCCTGGCTCATTATTTTTTGTCTCAGACACTGGTGACGTTTTACAAATTCTGAGTAGTAGCTGCAAGCTCCTGTATATCGTATGAGTTGAGAAATTTGTACTCCAGACGCGGATGAAGTTGTTAAAATGCTATTGGGGAAATTTAATAATTTCAAAATTGAAATCATCTCGTTTAATTTTTGTCATAGACTCTGGTATTTAGATGACCGCTGTAGTCAAATTCGGGGTATATGTCTAAAAATGAAACGGAGAAAGTTGTATATGTGGTGTGTAAAATCTCTATTTCAGGACTATCAATGGGACCTAATCAGAAAAGTTTTTATTGTTAATGGAAAGAACATCTTCAATTATTTCATGTATAATTAAATGATATATAGCTTCTTTGATCTAAGTTAAACCCTTACTATAACAATAACATGCACATTAAGATATTTCCAGGGAAAGACCACCAGACCCCCTCTCGCTTCACTCATTCGTGAATGCTTTTAACATTATAAATACATAGTATACAATATTTACTGTTCGGCAAATTACTCTCTTGGGGTCTTATTATCATATATGCCTATTTAGCATTGCCGCCTAAATGAAAACAAGTCTTAATTTAAGTTTATATGTATAATGTATATATATCACCAAAACAAATGAAAGCATTGATTTACGTTCTTAGTAAGTAGTTACACGCTTCAACCAATTACATGTATGTCAGTTGGTAAAGTAATGTTGTTTTCCAATCATTCAGCATGGTCACGACTTGTTTTTCACGATCAAAATAATGCGTTGCCTGATCTTTCACGATCAATTTTGATTAAAAATCAACAAAAATATACTTTTTCAAACAAATTTTGAACTTTTTCAAGTAATAACATACTTTTATTTTACTGGCCTATCTGACACACTAACCATTAAGTTTCAAATATATCAAAATATATTGAAATGTGACCATTATAGATATAAAACATGATTTTTCTTAATGATTCTCATAGGATTGTGTGTCGCCTTTTGTGTTTTCTTAAAAAGTACTGCATTTTTTCTTCACGGTAGAACGCAATGTTATTAAGGAAGTTGAATCATTTTGACAGACATATTTCTTTTTTCTGAATGGTCCACCTTTTGGAAATACAGCAAATTTGTCACAGATTTTGAAGTTAAATTACACTTAATTGCATTCACGATCCTATCGCAATGCTTCACCGTCGTTTGTTATTCTTTCACGATCATTTTTCTCGATATACCGAATGACACCCGTGTATATATTAAGAAAGTGAGTGATTGGCAAATGAATAGGCTGCCGTCACAGGAATGGCTGAACTGCGGAGATCGACACAACAGTACATAACTATGTTTTGGTTGTATATGTCGATGGGTTAGTGTCACATTACTGCAAATTCATGTGAATTCATTACTAAAATAAAATATAGGGGGTAAACTGGATATGCAATAGTCCGTGCCATAGCTCCACACCTTGTGGTAGCAAATAATTTAAACAAAATGTTGTATCCAGTTTACCCCCTATATTTTATTTTAGTAATGAATTGACATTTAAAAATTCAGTTCTCATCATGCTATTATCTACCAAATGTATTTTAACTTTGAATAAATAACCTTTTTATATACTCTCATTTACAGTTTAGGCGTTAAGATTAATGACCGAACACATTTTTCAGGATTTAAGCTTATATCAAAGGGTTTAAGAGTAATGCTTAACATCATTTAGGCAATAGACTTACTGCCTATGTGTTAGCTAATCGATTGGGTCTATGCGTAATGACTAGTTTCACTTATTCCGGCTATCATTTATACATATAGATTCAAGATTCAATAGTTTATTAAAGTCTCGCCACATACATAACATGCATATTATAAACAGTAAAACACATTTCGGATTAAGAAAACCAAGAATAAACAAGTTACAATGTATGTGCCATTCTTAAAAGAATTATGAGAGAAGATATTCATGATATTATTAAATATACATTAATTTTACACATTATAAAACACATATTTTCATAAAAAATGTAATATTTTTAAATACAAGTTATATATATATTACAGAATTTCTTCTTATTAAAATATTGTGACAGCTAGGTTTTGGCAACAATATTAAAAATCATATTATTACTGAATAAAAACATAAATTTATCTTCATAAGCTTATTCTATAAAATCATTTTTAAAAGTGACACTACAGTGAATATATTTTGTTTTAAATCGTTATATAGAGGAAATTTTAAAATCACATGATTTTCATTTTCTATTTTGTTAGTACAGTTAAAACACTCAGGTTCGTTCATTAACTTCCTTTCTTTCATACCGACCAGTTTCAATTCTTAAAGATGCTACTCCACATCTGAATTTTGAAAAAGCACTACGATACCGCAGTGGTAAATTCTGTTCCAAATATGATTCTTTACAAAATGAGGACTTAAATAGCTTATATGTTCTTAACCTATAACCTTGACCATATGAAGTAACCCTTATACACCAGTCATTTTTATATTTTATATATATATCTAAAGTTTCAACATTAATTCGGGATACTGTTTTTATCGATACAAAGTTTGGTGACAGATTGAAAAAACACTAATAATATATTTCTTTTTCACTTTTGTCTTTACAGAAAATAAACCTAGATTTAACTATAAATGTTTAGCAATAGAGTTGAGAAAGGACAATAACTATAAATTGTTGGCTGTTAACTGCACAGACAAATATAAGGCTCTTTGTGTGAGGAAAACAACAACAGGTATGTAAACAAAACAATACACGTGTTTCACTTTAGTACTATGGCATTTACAACGAGAATAAAATCAAAAATGTCATTTAAAAAAGAGAGGCGAAAGATACCAAAAGACATTTAAAATCATAAGTAGAAAATAAACTGACTACGCAATGGCTAAAAAAAAGAAAAAGACAAACAGCAATTCACAAAACACAACATAGAAAACTAAAGAATGGGCAACGTACAAAACACGAACCCCACCAAAAGCTGGGGTTGATCGTAATGATGTGAGTAGTTACAGTTTTTGACAATATGGACCAAACGTATGCCCATTTCATGGTATAAGAGATGTAAAACAGAAATCGAGAATAATTAGACTTTAACCGATCTGCTTTTCTAATCCCCACTTTTAACAATTTATCTATTCATGCGTGATCGTCGGTGTAGTTTTGATACTGAATATTATCTATTGTCATTATAGAGAAAACATTATATGTTAGAATCAACAACTCATTTAAATGCACAGCAAGAAACTACTAACCCAAAGGATAGTTCTAAAGCAACAACGTTACATATTATAATAGATTGCTTTTGTTACAATTAAATGATTTATGTTTCAATCATGAATCCATGCATACGATTTTATTTTGCAAGGTAATTGTATTGCAGGGTGGGTGCAGGTTAACAGGTACGGGCACGATGGAGGCTCTGGCTGTTCGTTACCGGCCTGCTACCTTCCATTTGCTATTTTTTGTCTCTCACTCGAACGCCAAATGAAACGATTCTTGATTTTCCTGTGCAATATATAAAACATACACGTTATGAATAAATTGTTTATATTACACCTGCTCATTCAGTTATATAACTTTACTCAATACTCGGAGTACAAAATGTGTGCTCGATCCACCAAATCTAGTATTTTGTATTTTTGATTTTGATCTGGACTTTAGATCTACAACGCTGAACTTTACATCTCCAGCGCTGGAAGTTAAGTATTAAGCGCTTAACTTTAATCTATAGCTTAGACTTAATATCTATGTAGCGCTCGAATTTACATCTCCTGCTCTAGACTTTCTATATGTTTACAGCGCTAGACTTTACATTTGCAGCGCTGGAGTTTATATCTACAACGACTTTGGATATACAGCGTAGGATTTTAGATCTCAAGCGCCAGTCTTGAGTTCTCCAGTGCTTGACTTTACACCTCCAGCGCTAGACTGAAATCTACAGTTCTACATTTTTCATCTTCAGTGTTAGACTTTTCATCTCCATTGCTTGACTTTAAATTTACAGTTATAGACTTTACATCTCAATCGCTTGACTTTGAAAAAAAAACACAACTCTTTTTCTGTATGAGACCAATAGGGCTCCGTAATGTTTGATACTGAATACTATATATTGTTATTATAGAGAAAAAATTATATTTTAGAGTCAACAACTCATTCCAATGCACAGCAAGAAACTACTAACCTAGAAGATACTGCTAAAACAACAACGGGTAAATAATTTAAAAGATTTTTTTTGTTACAATTAGATCATTGATGTTTTAATTATGAATCCATGCATACGATTTTATTTTACAAGGCAATTCTATTGCATTCTTGATTTTCCTGTGCAATATGTAAAACATACAAAATGTACGCGTTGTATATGAATTGTTCATACAATGTAGTACGCGTGTCCTTTTAGTTATAAAACTTTACTCAGTACTTGGAGTACAAAATGTGTGCTCCAACCACCAAATCCAGTATTTTGATTAATTGATTTTTAAGTCTTGAATACAATAATCATACACAAAAGTTTTATGAATGTAACCCCTGTTGTTATGACTATGTTTGCTAAGAAGAAGTAAGATTAACTGGTCAAGAAAGTAAAATTAAAAAAAAGTATATTATATTACTGTACTGCAAATACACAGAGAAATCTGTATAACTGATAAGTAGTTTTTTAGTGGATAAATATAATTATGTTGAGTTTACAACAGTGAGATAGGTCAGGGAAATACATACCCAAAATACATCTACATACTGTACCTCCTTACAGGTTCACCCCTAAACATACAACGATATTGTCTACCCTACCGTTGTTTACAGTTTGTTTGTATGTTGTGCTGTTACACCACTGTCCCAGGTTTGGAGAAGGTTTCAGCGCTCAAAGTATGTTTAACCACGCCACATTCTTAATGTACCAGTTACAAGTCAGGAGTCTGGAATTCAGTGGTTGTCTTTGGTTCATATCTGTCATATATGTTTGTCGTAAATTGTATTGTTATAAATCAGACCGTTAGTTTTCTCGTTTGAATTATTTCACATTCTTCTTGTCGGGAACTTTTATAGCCGACTATACAGTATGGGATTTTCTCATTGTTGAAGGACGTACGACAGTGACCTTATATTGTTTATATATTCGTCATTGGACCTCTGGTGGATAGCTGTCTCATTGGCAGTCATGTCACATCTCCATTTACTACACCGTTGTCTAGTAACTGTTTCTTCTATCTCAGATCAAATCTGCTCATAGTAGAACGCAAGTCTGAAAATAGTTAATGCAATGTAATCACGTGATTTTACAGTGCTTGTGAAATTATACTTATTTTCAATTGACTCGAAAATGTAAAACCTCCTCATTCTATTTATGGTTTGATCACATAGTTTATAAACATAAAAAGTCCAACTTTTTTATTCAGTTCATACTCCTATGTTTGAACTAACTTCCAATTCTTCGATTCTTATAAACATATTTTTTTCTTTCCTGTGCCAGTCTTTACTTCTTGCTGCTATGTGTTGGTTCTAACATGAAGTATATGCCGTTTGTTTTTTACTTTTTTTATTACTATATACTACATCCGTATTAAAAATGATATCTGTGGTGAATCTATTACCAGATGATCATTAGTTATAGCGCGATTTTGTTCCGGTTTTTCTTTGATGTGAATGAGTTTTGAAGTCCTTTTATTTATTCAGAGCATTATAAAACAAAATATCATTCGAATACTTCGCATTTATTTCTATGGTATCCATTAATTTTCATCATGTAACGTTTGCGATAAACTGGAACTGAAAAAAGGTATATGTACTTTTAATAATATGAAGGAAGAAAATATCGTCAGATCTAATTATAAAATTAACAGCACCTGTTATAAACAGCATCCTTGATCCAAATATATATAATTGTTCCATACATGTTACTTTAGCCAAGAGAGCCTGATTTTGGTGTGCACGAGAACTTCTGCTGTATTCTTCATAATGGTCAAAGTGCATGTGCCTTATAAGGACAGAATCAAATTTAATTTAATATAATTTAAAAATATCACTTTCATCGTACTGTACAATGTACAAAAATGTTTTATTAATTAACAATCATACTTTTATTACAAATAGCACTTACAATTCTTCAGATATTAATTTTTTCCAATTTTTTTTGTTCTTTTTTTATTGTTGTTTTTTTTTTAGGATGGGGGATTTATTGGAAAAATTTTACTTGTTTATTTTAAATAATTGTCCTGTTAGTGTGACAGTTCCCCTATAATATCACGGAAACTCTTCAAAAGCAATATATTTATATAGATTATAATTTCCTGTTGTATTATCATTTAAATAGAATCATTTTATCATCCACCTAAATCATCGCATTGAAAATTGTCAACGATTTGTTTAATAATTGATTCAGTTTTGGTGACAGTGTCCAGCGACAGATTATCAAGAGCAGTAGACATGCATAATCCAACCAGTAAAAACCCGAAAGGTATGTGTTACAATTATTAACAAACAATATGAACAGATATAAAAATGCACTGATATAAATCTGCATGTACTGATCGAGATAAAAAAAGGAGGAGGGTTGACATTAAAATAAAAAAACAATACTAAGTAGTATAACCGCGCCACATTTTCATGTACCTATCCCAATTCAGTTATCATGTCAGTACATTGTAGTTATCGACCAATGTATCTTTGTTTTCGTCATTTCTAGAATTGGGTGTTAATGGCAGATCTTTGATGGTTTTATTAATAAAATTGAGAATGGAATTAAGTTTATTCATTTCTTGAACAGACGATAAATATAACTTGAAGTATTGTATGGACACCAGGCTATTGTTAAAAATTAACGACTGTATATTGCCTTTAGATGTCTATTGGTGGTTTTTGTCGTTGTGTTGCTGTCTCATTATTGTATACACCACTTATTTAATTCACATACGTTACATTATAAACATGACTTTAAACTCTTACATAACCTAAATATTGTAAGTGTCATTCACTTAGTTATAACAACTTATATACGATATACTTCATACAAGTATAAGATAAACTTCATAGATATGGGTGTGTATCCTCAATCTTGCTACATCATAACAAAATTCAAAATGAAGATCTGACAACCTTCGATTTTCATTTGTCTTTTGAGGAACTATGTACTAGGACTGGATATTGATTTCGTCAAGGGAACTATTAAAGGATGTGTACAAGAACAATAAAGCATCCATAAATCTTGATGATAATACAGACAAATGCAAAGCCCGATGTGGAAATAATGTGGTATGGTAGGAGCAATTGCTTCGCCACTAAAATCGCAAATACCAGTGGTAATGTTCTTCGATCCTTTCAAAATTTGTCAATTTCATAGTGATATACTCTAGAAGTTTTAGTGCGGATATTGCATCTATGAACTCGGTATCTTTAACCTGTTGAAATAGACATGAGACATGAGACATATAAAAAGTCATTTACACATAAAAAATATTAAATTTTGTAAATCTAATGATCCCAGCCTATTTGCCTTTTTGTATCCATATTCACAAATAATACTTCAAGTTTTGGCATACTTTTGCTACCAAGTGCGTGTTACGGGCATTATAAGTATGCTTGTTTTTTTTTTAGTTGAACTGTACATTGCTGTTCCATTAACAGTAGCAGTTTTGATTGTATCTGTAATAATCACAGTGATCTGTATAAAAAGAAGGTGAGATTTTATTTTTTTCGTTTATTGACAGGATTGGACGAAAATCAAAACCGGCTTTTAGTATGATGATAAGGGGGACGGACGGGAAAAAGTGGGTACCTAACTTGTGCAATCAACACCCCTCCATACAATTCTCAACCCAGGTCCATGAAATATTAGAGGAAGACTGCACACATGTTGAAATTGTGCACCTGCGATTATGGAATTGTTTGCGGAATTTGTTTTCACATTTTTCCAGACATGGGACCATAATTTTTCAGCAAAACATATGAAAGAGGGTACAAGTTTTGTGTAATCAAACCCTCCTACAGCTTTCAACCAGATCACTAAAACTTCATATATATTGAAATTTGGCACCTGCTTTTACGGAATTTTATGAGGAATTTATACATTTCATATTTCAGATATTTAGATGTTAAGTATACAGAATTTGTCCTTTTTTAAGAACATTGTGCGCGACCCGGCCATTTGAGTCTTTGATATCGATAGAATCATGCAGAACTAACACACTGAAATGCATACACAAAGGAAGGATTACGATATTATAAAATAGAAACTATCGAATCGACAATAGATCGATGGACGACAAGGAGCTTTTATCGCGGGTGGAAAAAAGGGGAGGGGGGAGCTGTTCCTATATAAAGATATACATAGACGTGTTGCTGGTATGGGTAACTTTTTCGGAATGTATCAAATATCAATGGGTGCAATTTCACAGAGGTAATATAACAATGGGTAAAATTTTGTATGTCAATGGGTCATACTGTTCATTTTCTACTGATCAGATGTCGGTGAAAACTGTGATCTGATCTTGTATGCGATGGATGATCCTGTGTGGTTAACCTCTAAATACGATGTCATGTACATATTGTATGTCTAGCTGATAGCAGGAAAATATATTAATGGGTTCTGATTTTCATATATGATTTATATATGGGTAGGGATTTTGGCAAGAATCAATATATGAATGGGGTGGTTTTTAAATTCCAGCCAGACGTCGGTACCCAAATTTGTGTGTTGAGATCCCCCCGTGCCGTTGTTTAACCTCGGATTTGTAGTTTGGATAAGTATATTCAACAAATGAACAATTTTATAGATTAAAGACCACCCGGTAACAATTTAAAAAAATAAATAATAATAATTAATTAAGATAGAAATAGAAATACATATACTAGGTAAAAAAAATAAAAGAGGAATTATTTCTAATTATAATCTCAGGAAATCAAGTCATTGTACATTTGTAAAGTCTTAGATATGACAACAGTTTGATGAACAACAAATTTATAACATTGTCATGTCAACTTATTTCAAACGGGATTGCACATCCTCATTTTTACGGCCATATTGTTTACCGTGCCCGGAAATTTAGAAACGATCCTGGTAAACTTATCGATCCTTTAAATAAACTTATTCTAAAAGGTTACCAATTCAACACTGTAATTAGATCATTAAATATTGTTTTTATTGGTACTGATATTGATTTTGTTATCAGTAAATTAAAAGCAAACTAAATTTTATTGTTATATATATATACACATTCATGGATCTACAATCTGTCGATACCTGTATCTTGGCATTGCACAAGGTCATGTTTTTTTCTGATTGTTTATGACGTCTTTACACTAAATCCATTGGATGTTGGATGTGTACGGATTGATAATTTAGTCTAAGATGCATGATTTTTTTTAATTAGTTGTTAGTGGCTTAGAACTAGCTGTCAGTAACTGCGAGTACTCTCAGATCTGTACTTAGTGTCTTTATGTTGTTTGGATGTACAAGTACCCGGCCACGTCCACTTGTATTTGTAGCATTTGTATTTGTATCCATCTGATGAGTTAAGCCTCTTTCAACTGATTTTTACATCGCGATGACCTTGAGGTCATCCCGATGTATTGCTATCGCCTAGATTTCCATTATGTAAATTAGTTTTGGGTTTGTAACCGATCTATAATCATGATAAATACGCGCACATCAACGAGTGCAAAATAACATTCCTTATCGTTTGATATAAATACATCTCTTCAATGAATACTGATAAAAATATTTTTGTTTACAACATAAATTAATAATATGAAAATGTTTTGTAGTTAGATATATATATATAAGTAAAAAATCATTGATAATATCAATGCACACGTACCGAAAAATTGTGTTAAAGCATGCGGAAGAATATCTCAAAGAACGTTTTGTGAAAATACCGTCAAGGACCGGTAACTCTGTAATTGATTTTGCGGGAAAATATGAATGCCTACTCGTATCCAATCTTAGAAAAATCGAATTTTTACAGAAAAGTGTCCACCATGCACTTGCATTGCACTATTTTTAGAATAGTAGAATAGAATGATATACAAATGGATTCAAATCATATATATATGTAACTGTTATTTTAATATAATATAAATAACAACTCAGTGTATACTGATTTGTATCACTACAATATAATAGTTATTACGGTGGAGTTGAATTTCCTGTCATTTATTCATCATCCACGCACGAACTTGTCTCAGAAAAAAATATATCTCTGTACATTAACCTCAGTTTTAGGTAAAGAGATATGTTGTTTTTTTCTGAGACAAGTGCTTTTGACCATCCTCAAGAACTTGTGGTCATCCGATGTTCAGTACTTCAGTACTTTGATTATAGTTCGTTCTTATGTTGTACTGTTACACCACTGTCCCAGGTTAGGGGGAGGGTTGGGATCCCGCTAACATGTTGAACCCTGCCACATTCTGTATGTATGTGCCTGTCCCAAGTCAGGAGCCTGTAATTCAGTGGTTGTCGTTTGTTTATGTGTTACATATTTGTTTTTCGTTCATTTTTTGTACATAAATTAGGCCGTTAGTTTTCTCGTTTGAATTGTTTTACATTGTCATTTCAGGGCCTTTTATAGCTGACTGTGCGGTATAGGCTTTGCTCATTGTTGAATGCTGTACGGTTACCTATAGTTGTTAATTTCTGTGTCATTTGGTCTCTTGTGGAGAGTTGTCTCATTGGCAATCATACCACATCTTCTTTTTTATATCAGATGGGTAGATAGGTTAAGCTCCTCTTATTACAAGTTGGCGTGATTCGCCCGTCATGCAATGCCAGTGTCAACAAATCATTAAAGGACCAAAGATGTCAATGACAACAATTACATGTAGTATTTTAAATGTATATACATGTATGCAGCTAGTGCATGTTTAGTTTCCTCTAGTATGCATTTAACTTCAATTTGTCTTAATTATTTGTCAATTGTAGACGAAAGCGGAAAACAGATGAAATCGCGAGGAATATGTCCACAGTATACTATTCAACAGTACCAGATGAAGTAACACTTGAAAAAGCTTCCGATAATCCTCACGGTGATGGCAACGGAGCATGTCTCCTAAATGAGACAGATGTTTATAATCACTTGGGTGACACAGATCAGCAAAACCAAACAGATTTAACTGGACCCGTCTATGACCATACCGGTTTAAAAGATAACGACCAGTACGACATTTCCATTATTTCTGAGAAGCGGATGAATAAAGATGGCGACGATTTTAATCATTACGATTTAATGCAAGTTAGCACAGATAACAATTCTGTCTACGATGAAACAAAAAGGAAAACAAATGGAAATAAAAATATTGTTTCTATTGAAATATATGATCATGCAAAACAGACAGAAAATGACTATTACACAACAGATACTCAAAGACAACATGAACCATGTGAACATCTTAATGACCCCACGTATGAAAAGTCTGGACCATGTGACCATCCTAATGACCCCATGTACGATCAGTCTGGACCATGTGACCATCTTAATGACCCCATGTACGATCAGTCTGGACCATGTGAACATCTTAATGACCTCACGTATGATCAGTCTGGTCCTTTAGAAGCTGTCATTTTCGAAAAGTGTGAAACAAAGCAAAGTAACACGGAAGAGCAATGACATAACAAATATTCCTCACAATTTTAATTCGACTGACTCTCACTGGTGGCTGAATATATCTATGCTTTAAAAGATACAGAAAAACAATCTCGAAGCAGAACCTTAAGCATAAAAAAATCTTAAATGTTTGGGTAAGAAAATGTTGGGGTACTTGTATGATAAATTGCTACAGTAATGATGGTAATATTATATTGTTTTCAATATGAAAAAAGGGGTTGTCCTCTACTGTGAAAGTTATGAGACATGATATTGTATGTTTTTGTAATTTTGTTAAACATACCAGTTTGACTGCACGAGTTGGTTTATTATAATGCAATGTTTTGTACGCTGAAGTATGCAATAATTGACAACACTTCTTTACATTTGTAGAGACGTAGGTAAGGGTGAATACTCACAATCATTCAATCAGTACCTTTCAAGAAGAAATATTTACGAACAAATTAAACTAAAATAACTGATTCATTTATAGTTTATTCTCTTTGATATAGTATAATTCTCTCGCAAATATGATACTGTGAATTCATTTTTATTCGTTGGATACCAATTTTCGTGGATTTCGTTGGTACAGTGAACCACGAACTCAAATGTTCAACAAATTACAATTTTTTTATTAGGTTGAATGCAGACTCTGACAATACCACGAAATCAAATATTCATGAAAAAGCAATTTTTCCTCAGTCCACGAAAATGCAAGTTTTCCTCAATCCACGAAAATTGGTACTCACGAAAATAACTGAATCCACAGTAGTCTATTAAGTTATAGGCCCTTTGATGTCATGCAAGGCTGAATTGTTAAAAATTTTGAAAGAATCAACTCAATTTTGAAAGCATTACACTAAGTGATTGCTTATAAAATAAACCAGTTCATAGTTAGTTACTTGTTAAATACAGGAATCCGTAATATTAGTCAGTTTAAAAATTGATTAACCCTTTAAGTGAAAAGAATTTATCATTTTACCCGTTTCGTGTTCGTTTCTTCGTCCATTCCCATATTGTATTTTTCACTCCTCAGAAACTATACTGCCTGGATTTTACGGGAACTATTAGCAACCTTGCAGTATCTTATGGAGTTTTCATCTCCTGTCTTATTTTTATAAACAAAACCAAATTATTCTGTAAACAAGAAAGATGGGAAGAGAATTTCTATCCGGAAGTCCTTGCATGTAACAACTTAGTAGATGTCAATGTAACATCTGTTATTATTTTGTAGCCATTTTGTACATTATAATATTATTATTCTTAAAAGTCAAATAAAAGTAGTTATGACTAAATAAAACTTTTAAAAAATGTTTATATTCAAGTTAAAGCCATAGATTATGCATATACAGCATTAAAACCTTGACCAAATGTATTACGCTCAATGATGATATTAATAAAGATAAACTAAACGAAATATTAGAGATGCACACTCACTAGACTGGTATGATATACGTTTAAATTATAAACTAGTATATTAAGTACTGGTTTCATTTTCCAATGTGATCATAATCTGTCTATTATAGTATCAGTTAGCTTTCGTATTTTGCATAACAATAAGTCGACAGTCTTGTCGGGAGCTTTCGACAAAATAAAATGGCGATTTCGTTGTTTGGAAAGTGTATAATAGTTGGGATTATTTGCAAAGGTAATGTTTATTTCTTCTTCTTATTTTATCCGTTTTTATCTTGTCAATCAAACAATTAATATAAAAAAAGGAGATGTGATATTATTGCCATTGAGACAACTATCAACCAGAGTTCGTATGACGTGGATTTAAGCAAATATAGGTCACCGTCCGGCCTCCATCAATGAGAAAAAACCCATACCGTATAGTCAGCTATGAAAGGCTCCGACATGAAAAATTTGAAACAATTCAAACATGTAAACTAACGGCATAATGTATAACTATAACATTTACGATAAACAAATAGGAACCAACACCAACCACTAAATTACAGGTTCCTGACGTGGGATAACTACATAAAGAACATGTTTTCTGTGCGTTCAATCCTCCCATAGCACAACATAAGAACAAACTGTAAAAATCAGTTGCAAAAGTCTAAACTCAATAGATCGATATAAAGCACAAAAACAACTAACATAAAAACCAGAAACACAAAGAACTGATATAAGAGTACTCGCAGTTACTACAAGATAGCTCTTCCAATGTACAGTCGCTGATATTAGAGTGATGGGCATCATGGCTTTATATCATTCCTTAACCACTATTGTTGGTTATTTGTTTTCTACTGTGTGTGTTTTTTGGCTATTTATTCTATATTATTGTGATTTATATTGCCAAGTTAAAATATTTTAGAATATGTTTTATGGACCCTTATCATTCATCTGATTGAGCTAGGTGAACAGGGGGACGATCCAAATCTGAAAACAAATTTCATGTATTCCAATCTCGCAACATGTTCATTTGTCCGTCCCAAGTCAGAAATAAAATTGAGAATGGAAATGGGGAATGAGTCAAAGAGACAACAACCCGACCATAGAACAGACAACAGCAGAAGGTCACCAACAGGTCTTCAATGCAGCGAGAAATTCCCGCACCCGGAGGTGTCCTTCAGCTGGCCCCTAAACAAATATATAGTTCAGTGATAATGATGAACGCCATACTAAACTCCAAATTGTACACAAGAAACTAAAATTAAAAATAATACAAGACTAACAAAGGCTAGAGGCTCCTGACTTGGGACAGGCGCAAAAATGCGGCGGGGTTAAACATGTTTATGAGATCTCAACCCTCCCCCTATACCTCTAGCCAATGTAGAAAAGTAAACGCATAATAATACGCACATTAAAATTCAGTTCAAGAGAAGTCCGAGTCTGATGTCAGAAGATGTAACCAAAGAAAATAAACAAATGACAATAATACATAAATAACAACAGACTACTAGCAGTTAACTGACATGCCAGCTCCAGACTTCAATTAAACTGATTGAAAGATTATGTCTTCATCATATGAATATCAGGCACAATCCTTCCCGTTAGGGGTTTAGTATCATACCATCATAACATATATGAGAAGAACATAACCCGTGTCATGCCAACAACTGGTTTTTAAATAAATGTGTTTAGTGCCGATGCAAAGACCCTATAAGTGAATCAATATTAACGCCAAAATATGCAATCTTTAATGACCTGACAACAGTATCGTAACTATATCCCTTCTTAATAAGTCTATTTAAAGAAACCTTATCAGTGGAGCTTTGTAATATCGTAATGCTTTTTCATTTAGAAAATTTAGAATTGTTTTCAGATCTTTGATGATAGTTTGTGATAAAAATATATAAGCAACCTTTCTATACTCGGGGCGATTTATAGCTTGCCATAGACACTTTTCTCTTGTATAAAACCCTATGCTGACTTTTTTTATCTTTTTTTTATGACTCTGACTGCTGCTGCGTTGACATGTTCTAAACCCGTTCAAAACAAAGGCGTCATATGTTGTATTATTAATCTATAACTTTACAATGGAGCCTTTGTGTATGCAACCAGTGTATAAATCTCAATGACCAAAAATGATACCAATGCGATGTATAGTATAACATTCACAATTATACCATAGTTTCGTTATATCTGAACTTCGAAAAAAAGAGGGAAGAAAGCAAGGCTGGGGAACTTAGAATATTGTGTCTGAATTTTTAGACAAGAACAACAACAGCGTCGAAGCAGGGCCACTAGCCAATCTGATATATATTTATTGGAAACAATTAATTAATTAGGCCAAATAAACTATAACTTCATTTGCACTTTGGTGGATAGTTGTCTCATTGGCAATCATATCTCCTTATATTTATATAAAAAAATGTGTTATAGGTAATATAAATATATATACTAATTTGTTTTTAGTACGAATAGGTTGATAGCCTCAATATTCGGTAATTGAGATTTATACTCGGCCCATAGGCTCCATTCATTATTGTATAGCTATATAGGTTAACAAATTGTAGTACACTGTTGACATTTTGACTTTAATGCGGTTGCTTAAAAAGTAGTAATAATAATGTTCGATTCGTCTCGTGTGGTTATTGACGGGGTTTCAACAAAAAATATGGTATAATTAACGAAACACCGAAAACCTATCCAAAAGATACGAAATATCTACATCTTAGTACAGACATTTTTTACAAATAACTGCCAGCTGCATTGAGAACGTAGTCAGCGTGTATTGTTGAAAACCAGTCTATGACCTCAAGATTTCTAGTTTTTATATCGTTTGGTTGCTGTCTTACTAACGTAAATGTCTTTTCATACATAATTAGCATACTTCAAATGTTTGTCGAGATGGTCGACAATATTTTGGATTGTATCCAATGAATGATTTCGAAAATAGTATTTTTTTCAACTTCCTCCTTTATCACTATTCTAATTTTTTTATGGATTGTAATATGAATATAGTCTCTAATAAGGACTTTAGCTACGGTTTTATAGTTCAAACTTTCACCATATTTCCGCTATATCCGTATCCTTATTGAAAAGTTCGTGATCACTTCCTCAATATGAGATCAATGAGTCCAATATTATTTCTTCCTGATTTGTTTTGTCAGTCAAAGGTCTGATTTGTATTAGAACCAATTGCTAAACTATCAATAGTAATTTTAAAGCACTTCGTCGATATTGACAAATGTTGTGTTTTGTGTACTTTTTTGGGCATTTTAGTTTTTCGTTTTTTGCCATATAGTTGCCAGTTTGTCACCGAGTTTGAATATCCTTGTAGTATCTTCCGCCTCTCTTTGACAACAAGAGTATTTATGAAGCATTGTGTCTACCTTGACAACCAGAGTACTTATTAAGAATTGCGTCTACCTTGACAACAAGAGAACTTATAAAGCATTGCGTCAAGTATCTTGACAATGCATGTCCTTTAAAGCAATGACAATAAGAGAACATTAACGCATTGCTTCTATCTTGACAATAGAGTACATTAACGCATTGCGTCTATCTTGACAAAAGAGTACCTTAAATTTGGTTTGAAGGGCTATTCAGGTATTTGAATATCTTTTTAACCTGTAGCGCTGTACTTCGGTTTTAATTTTGAAAATGTCAGCCCATATAAACCAATGAATAAAACAGTCAAACTGTGTTATAATTAAACAAAGGTTAATGTATTCCAATTAGTGGATACTGATCTGATACTGCTCTCTTTCGTTTTTTTGAAGATCTGGAGAGGGGTGGAGATCTTGTTCTCTCATACCTTATAAATATAAAAGCCTTATATGATCAAAAACATTTTAGTAACAGTGGCGGATCCAGGGGGGAGGGGAGTCCGGGGGTTGGAACCCCCCCCCCCCCCCCTTTTATAAATTTCTGGATCCGCCCCTGAGTAATCTGACATAAATTTACATGCATATTGGTCATTATAATTTTTAAAGATGTTCCGACAAAACATGATTTCCAAACAAAAGGGAGGTAACTTTTAAAGATGAATATTTGTAGAATTGAATGCGTTACAAGTGAACATGAATTCTCACATCACGGCAGCTATCGGTGATTCAGATGTAGAGCTCAGATGTCAGCTTACAACAGAAAACGATGATTTTGTCAATCTCATTCATTTAACAGCCAGAAATAAAACAACTAACAGTTTTTACCAGATAATAACATTTTATCCACCACATCGTAACAAAGTAGCATCTTTAAGCACTGGCGGACAGTATCTCAGTGGACGTGTTTCACTTACGAACCCTACAGGTTCTCTCAACGTCGCCATCATGTCTTATAATTCAGTACAATGTGAAGATGACACTGACTATGGATGTGATGTATATTATGATAATAATGGACAATTAAATACCATGCAATCTGATCCCACAACGATAACTATTACAAGTATGTACATATATATATAATGTTAGTATTTATACTTGGAGACCTAAATAACGCAACACACACATTTATGTTCCATATAACCAGTAGGATTTGGTTGTTGATTGTTGTTGGCCTAACGTTCAGTGCCAAATATTTCAGGACGATCCAGAAATTTAAAAGCTATTTTATAATGATTTAACCATTCAGAAATGTTACAGGTTAGTATTCTGTAATAGCCAGATCATCAATTTTCCTACATTTTTCCAAAGAAAACAAATTCCGCATGTTTGCCCAGGAACTCACATACTGCATATATTGAAAAAGGTTATCATCTTTATTATAATTTCTTATTTGTAAAAAAAAACAACAAAAAACAAAAACCAAAAAACAAGAAAATTAAATATATAGAACATTCATGAAAGTTTTAAAAATTGTATGCATCAATTGTTGGAATCAATGCCATGAAAAATTGGCAATTTTATAAAGGAAATAGCCGTCTACATGTATCAATTGTATCACACAAACATATTTGATGGCCATTTGTACAGGTTATTTAAATGGCAAGTACACATTCTGTATGTCGTTATGTTTTTGGTGAGTTATTTTTATAGTCAATGAATATAGATTATGATAAATGTTAATTGCACTGCTCGGATTTCAATTGTTTAAGATACTAGTACACTGTTTTAAAGGATACGTATGTTTAACAATACAATGGATTTTAACAATAGTCGGGAACTTGTTTGTTTTTTTCTTTCAAGTTTTACAAAAATGTTACTGAATAAATATTTGCTTAACTAATAAAATTGAGAATGGAAATGGGAAATCTTTGTATGTGCAACCGGTTACCGTGCATGATATGTTAATCAGTAGAATGACTTCAGTATACGAATTTTGATCAACAGCAGAAAAAAAAATACACGTTGTAAAGATACGGCTGACCAAAAAGGTGCAGACGAAATCACGCAAAGCAACCAAAAATACATTTTATAGACAAGATGAAAATACCGAAAGGTAGGGAAGATATAGGATATATACAAAACTAAAAACGAAAGACAAATATGTTAGACAGCAACAAATGACAACAAACACATTACAGACTCTTGTATCATGCTTACTCTGTTTGAGGTGGATAATTATTTCAAAATCCTCACTTATCTTATTTACTCGTTTTAATAAACTACTTTTTATGAAGTATTTCCAATTCAACAAAAATAAGCTGTTAGAGTCGACTCTTAGGAATATTTCATTCTTTCCAATGATGTTTGAAAAAGTAAAGTGTATTTACAATTCTTTGTATATTTATGATTCCAACTACTGTGTACAACAAATATAATAAAAAAATGTTTTGAACGTCTAAACTAGATAATGGTTTAGAATATTTAAAAATTTGTGAATTTATACAAGACAGCGTATGCTAAAAGTGGGTAGCAGATTCACAAAGTAAGAAACAAACCGACCATCAAGAATACTGTTGTATAGTATAACTTTAATTATATTAAAATGTAGTTTTTCTATTTCAATAAATTATATTATACTTGAAAAAGAGGGACGAAAGATACCAGAGGGACAGTCAAACTCATAGATCGAAAACAAACTGACAACGCCATGGCCAAAAATAAAAAAGACAAACAGACAAATAATAGTACAGATGACACAACATAGAAAACTAAAGACTAAGCAACACGAACCCCACCAAAAACTGGGGGTGATACTTTTAAAAGTAATTTAAAAGACCTTTTAATTAGGTTCAACCAGTTCCAATCTAATTAAAGGTAGTTCTCAGCACTTGCTCCTTATTTTGATTTGAATGTTTATAATAATTATTTATGTCGTTGTTAGATTATTGTTTACATTAACAAAATTGTACATGTACTGTAACAGACTATATTTATATTGTTTCAAGCGATTTCTACATAACTTTCTACAAATGTAGGTCCATCATCAAAGCCAGACAGTGTGGTAATGTTTCCTTCCGCTGGTATAGTCCACGAGGACTATGTTTCGTTTATCTGTAAGGGTGATGTAGGTAATCCAGCCGGCACATTCATCTGGAGAAAGCATCTCGCTGGTGAACATAATCCTGTTATTTACAGCGAACCCGTGACTGTTCCCACGGAGATACCAGGAAGTTGCAGTTTCCATGGTACCAGTAACTTGACTATACAATTAACAGAGGATGATAATGGTGCAACAATAAGCTGTGTAGAACAGTCATACCAGGTAGAGAATATGATGAAAAAAACGTCACCATTAATCATACATTGTAAGTATTAATCATAATCAAGTATAGAGGTGTTAATTAGGTCGTCAGAATCAAATGTTCCAGTAAGTGTCAATACAAGGAACAGCAACAAAAACTATTCCCGTGATACGTCTGCTATTTCTAACAGAATTCCTCCAAACTTGCTCAGATTTTCTACAAAACATGAAGTTGTGCATCTCACATCTTTTATCTGTTTGAATTATTTGGTTTTTCATGCCAAAACATGAACTGTGCCATCTCTGTGGTAAACTCGTCATCCGTTGGTGAATCACACATTTTGTAAAGTTAATATAGAATGGTCAGTTTGTTTGCAGCTACTTACCTGGTTTAAATGCATGCAATACTTCATAACTAGAAAAACTTTTATAGCAGGTGCATGCATTTAGATATCATAAATTGTTCAACCCTGCTACTAAATTTAGATTAAGATGAGTTCTGCATCGAGCTTTGTACAGTGTTATTGGTTTATTCTTGAAGAAATTTTACCTTGATGATTTTCTAGATATTTTTTAAACAGTTGTTTTGTTGGGTAGGTGTCTCTTTGACGTAAAGCAACCACATGCACATACCATTTTGTTAATAGTTTACAGAGTAATATAGATAAAAAGAGGGGTGTACTATATAATGCTATACGGTATCCGTACAGCAACCAACCAACACACAACAAATGAAGATGGTTTACCAATGTCAGTTCAATATCATAGTCGGAAGCGACGCAACGACGAATTCTTACATGTATTGATGACGTCCACTAACAGGTGACTGAAATGTGAACACCCCTTGCAATCTTTGTATTTTATTTTAGAGTAATCATAAATTTTCAAACAGTAATAATCTCTTGCTGTTTGATATGCTTCATAACTGACTCCTCAAAATTCACCACATATTTGAAACTATAATCAAGGTATTAATTCAATCAGATCAGAATTATTAATTCTTTATTTTAATGTAATTTCAGATAAAGTAAGGAACGTTGAAATATCAAAAGATCCGGATGTTGACACTCATATTCGAGACCCTATGAACCAGATCAACTTAACATGTGTCGCTGAGGGTAACCCTTCACCTTATTACAACTGGTACAAAGAACCAGATTTGGAGACTGTTGTGTCATCTGGCGATACTTTCATTATCAAGGAAATGTTTACAAATAAAAGTGGTATATACAGATGCAAGGCCTACCACTATATAAGCGGGGCAATGTATAGTGAGGAGCAGATGGTCAACATAACAATAGGTAAGGTCACACCAATAAAATAAGCATAATTTCGCCTGTAACTAGTGACTGTTTCCGCTTAGGTTATAAAATGATCACGAAACTATCAATCCTCATTTTTTGACACAACAATCTTCTGTTAAATAATTTTAATTTTGTGTTTATTCTGATTTCTTTTCACAGTCCTGCAGTGATATCTTTTCTGCAATCAATTACATTAAAGAGGTTTGTTTTTGTTCGACTGCATTTCCGGTTTTATATAGCAACAGTTTTACCTGATTCTATATGCTAAAACAAACTAATTTTCGCGGATACATTTGTTTCATTTGTTACACTTTCATTTAATTTCGCAAAGATAAAATTCTAGCAATTTTCAAACGTTCTTATTCTATTTATATAATTGAAAATCCAAGTTTCAAATATACATGGGTTGTTCATTTATTATTCTCCGGAATGTCCCGAAAATTGACGGTGTTTAGACATAGTACAAACTTACGTTCACGTACACGTGACATTGTGTCAAAAATATTAATTGATTGACAATTTCTTTTCAGTTGAAGACCCGAATAAAATGCCATCATGGGGAGATCCTAAAACTAAAAGTGGGAGTACAGGTAAACATCATCCTATTTACATATACTTCATTTCAGGGTTTGAATAATAGTCTTTGTAAACTTGTTATAAATAGTGATAAAAAAATAGAAAGCAAGTCAACACCATTGCCAACAGAAATAAACAACCAAGACAATTTAATTTACCTTTCCTCAAACCTCTACCCCAAAAAAAAAAACATATTAAGCTCGGGTGCCCAGGAAGGGAAAACAATTTTTATATGTGCCTGTCCCAAGTCAGGAGCCTGTTATACCGTGGTAACCGTTGGTTACTGTCTGTCATATTTGGGCTTTTTTCGTCAACTTTATAATTTTGTCATTAATCGGGACGTTGTTTTTTGTTTGTTTTATCGTAGTCTTATAGATGACTGTATAGTATGCGTTTTGCTCATTATTGAAGGCTATAAATGCTTTAATCAATGTTATTTGGACTCTGGTAGTTAGTTATTTTATTTGAAATCATACCATATCCGCGTTTTATATATTATGTCATTCCCTAAAAAACCAAACACCTCGGTGGTTTCGTGGTAGCGTGTTTGCCTCAAGTGCATAAGGTCGTGGGTTCCAACCGTGGTCAATCAAACTAAAGACTGTAAATTGATATTTGCTGCTACTATGCTAAGCATGCGACATAAAGGAGTTAGAGCAAAGACTGGTTGGCTCGCAGTCCAAATAATGTGTCAGGGTAAGGTGACATGTCTTTCTGTGGACTGCTACCTTGTGAACTAGCACGTCAAATATCCGGCTCACCGTGTCGATCTAGTAGTACAATGCAAGGTTCATATTCATAACGCAATAACATGTTCTCTTCCTGAATATGCATTTAACTTGCCACTGGAAGTTAAACAGTCATCCGTTGTTTGACTCCTGACAAGTAAAAGATAAATTTGTTTATATGTCACATTCGGAGATAGACGATGAATGAATTGATGTATCTGTTTTCTTATTTAGCTCACAATATCTTTGCTATGAAACTAATATAATGTATTTTCTGTGTTCTTTATTGTCTCACTGCAGTTTGCAAATAGGGTGCATTATTGTTTGAGCGCACATGAACATGTAATAACTATACCTTGAGTATTTTTATAGAGGGGATCCTAGCCTTTTTTTTTTATCTTATTGAAATTATACATCTTCAGTTGTCATTTAACTTAGCCATCTCAGTTATTTTACGCTCTTTATGTTTTATGTTGTACTTGGTCATGAAATACACATCATTTAAAACCCTTTGCACCTTTCCTTTATTTTCGTGTGCTTATACATTCACTTTATATAGAGAGACTCATTTCAGTGGACGCAATTGTGAATAAAGATAATATCAAGTTTCATTACTTAGGGATTATAATATGAGCTCCACACACATACATATATACCTACGATGATGCATTGTTTCTTTATGATGTTATGAATTCACGTGATTGATGATATAAAGACTTGTAACTTAAGAAAGCGTTGAAGGTGTACATGGAGGCATAGGTTTTGGATTTCTATACACAGCTTTATAATTACCAGATCATTTCATTTTTTAAACATCGAATGAATTTTATATACCTTTTCAGCACATTGACACAAAATAGAGACTTGAAATGGATGTCTATAATTAGTTTTCAAATAAGAAACCGAACAATGTCAAATACCTCTCGATATTCTAATAATTAAAATTGGAGTTTTGCATCGAATTACAATGTATACTACAAGTTTTAATTTGTCACATTTGCATTCCCACCATAATATCTACAATCGTACAATGAAGCAGTTAATTCAAATCTGATATACGAATGATCTCCCCTAACACTGAAAGCGCATCTGATTCCATATACATGTATCTATCCACTGTCAAAAAACACAAGACAAAAAGAAAACAATAGGGTGATTTTTCATTGTTGTGTATGCGTTTATCTGGCATGTGACATAAATGAAATTATTGAAGAATTTGGGAGAAGTTCTGTATTTCCTCTGCACTGTGCACACGCTGCATATACCATGGATTTTATTTTTACATCGCGATGACCTTGAGGTCACTCCGATGTATTGCTATCGCCTAGATTTCCATTATGTAAATTAGTTTTGGGTTTGTAACCGATCTATAAACATGATAAATATGCGCACATAAACGAGTGCAAAATAACATTCCTTGTCATTTGATATAAATACATCTCTTCAATGAATACTGATAAAAATATTTTTGTTTACAACATAAATTAATAATGTGAAAATGTTTTGTAGTTAGATATATATATATATATAAGTAAAAAATCATTGATAATATCAATGCACACGTACCGAAAAATTGTGTTAAAGCATGCGGAAGAATATCTCAAAGAACGTTTTGCGACAGGACCGGTAACTCTGTAATTGTTTTTGCGGGAAAATATGAATGCCTACTCGTATCCAATCTTAGAAAAATCGAATTTTTACAGAAAAGTGTCCACCATGCACTTGCATTGCACTATTATTAGAACAGTAGAATAGAATGATATACAAACGGATGCAAATCATATATATATATGTAACTGTTATTTTAATATAATATATAACAACAAATCAGTGTATACTGATTTGTATCACTACAATATGATAGTTATTACGGTGAAGTTGAATTTCCTGTCATTTATTCATCATACTTGCACGCACTTGTCTAGAAAAAAATATATCTCTGTACATTAACCTCAGTTTCAGGTAAAGAGATATGTTGTTTTTTTTCTGAGACAAGTGCTTTTGACCATCCTCAAGAACTTGTGGTCATCCGATGTTCAGTACTTCAGTACTTTGATAATGATATCCTTCTGTGTCTTTTTTAGGAAATAACTGTGTATGCCATGGTCTTGATTCTCATAATATCTCTTTGTTTTTTTTTAATTCTGAATAACTTATCACTGAACAAGTTTCTCAGATTTTCAGTTTTACAACTTTTTTTCGATATTACTTCATTTTCCAAAATCACACAGTAATTCAAAGAATATATATAGTGCAGTTTAGAATGTACAATATATAAAATAAGAAACTCAGTTCAATGTTTTTCCTTTCAACGATAACTTTTTTGTTTTACGATAAATACATAAAGAATAAATTATTGAAAAAATGCACAAAAGAAAACAGAATAATAGGACAATAAATAGAATGAGAAAAAGCCTCCCCCCCCCCAAAAAAAAAAAAAAAAAAAACAAAATGCATTTAAGAGATATCACTCATCAACGTTAAATTCCTCAAGGAAAAGGAAACGTCAAAATATGACATCAGCTTTTTTTGTTTCCACTGTTGAGGTTTCTGATTTTGGCCAAGGTACATGAAATGATTATGGGTTGACAGGTATTTTAAAAAGGTGTATACAACCGTGTACTATAGAAATATGTTTTTGATAAGGCACTTAACCCTTGGATACATAAGTAGATGTAAAAATCACAGTTCACGCTACATATAGAAAGTTTACCGTTAAATCGTAAACATAATTATCCCCCTCCCCAAGAAATCAAGTAAACAGATTCTAATGCAAAGATAGAGGTGGCGTACAAATGTATCAAATAAATTTAACTGTTGTTAAATCGGTTTCAATTCTTCTAAACATAAGGGGTTGACTTGGGTAAAGAAGTATGGTTTACCCTGGACTTCTGTGCCATCAGTAAAACCATCGGTACGATGGGTGTCCGTTTATATGTGCGGGAGGATAAAATTGCAACCACGTCAGGTCTGAAAAGGACATTAATTTTAATCAGATGCATCTAATTGGTAATTGTCACGATCTTTGTAAATTTAAGATCGCTTGTAAAAATGCTCTGAGAAGTCCGTAGCTAGCCTGATGAAAGGCAACATTTCTGTCACTGTCTTACATTCCCCCTTATTTTCTAGTGGCATTCAAATCTCTCCTTCCATCGAGGTTGTTTTACCTTTTAAGTAATCGTCTAACTGTTTTATTTTCTATTTGTTTTCGTCTTGAATATGCGTGATATAGTTGCCACTGGACGTTAAACATGTTACAATCAAATATTATATGTTATTGTGTTATCTGTTGCAGTGATAGTTGTGGTAATACTGGCTTTAGTTGTGGTGATAACCGTTGTAATTCTCAGTTATATTTACTACCGCAGAAAAAAGTAAGTACAAAAAGGTCGCCATGAGAGTAATTTTTATGAAGGTAAGGTTTTTTCTTCTTTTTCGTTTCGACTAAATAAATTATTAATACGAGTAAGAAATGATTACAACTTTCATTGTAGTTTTTTTTTCTTTTATTTCACACTTTTCCTTATTATCACGATTAGAATGACAAGAAGCTATATCAACTTGAAATTGGCTCAAGGTTATGTTTGGGTCAACATAAAAAAACATCGTTCAAGCAATCTGGCGATAGACAAAATGCACTCTGAAGTCTCGCTCTCATAGTGTGTTACCTAAATTTTTGTTAAAGTTGTATCTATACTTTTAAATTGAAACAAATAACTTCATTGACTTTCATAGACAACTAAAAAAATAAACAAATGCAAAATTGAGTTTCAAACAAAAGTTTCATCCAAAGATGAATATACATGTTACATGTATATGTGCCTAAGATGAAAAAAAAAGGCCTCGACATGACAAAATTCAAAACTAATTAAAAAAAAACCAACGGTCTGATTTATGATACGAATAATTAACGAAAACCAACGAAAGATGACACACAGCAACCAACGACAACCACACAAAGAATGTTGCGGGGTAAAACAGGTTTGTGAGCGTTCACAATCATTGGTTGATTTACATTTAAGTCGATGACCGTGAATGAAATTCGTCACCACATTTACCGAATTATTTCAATTATATATATTTTTTTCAATTCATGTTAATATCTATTTAAAAAAATAATTTAACATACCAGGCATACAGTTTATTTCGTCAAACAGGGATTTCGTCTACATAAGACTCATCAATGTGACTCGAATTAAAATATTTTAAAGGCAACTGAATTACAAAATTCAAGAGCGTCTACTAGATAATTAATCTTTTAAAAGGTTGCCCAAATATTGCTAAGAGCATGTACATGTATATATCTAGTTATATATAGAAAGACAAAAGCAATGGTAATATTATCATATCTTTTAAATACTTTTGTTTCAGCATAGAATCTTCAGACTTAAGAGAAGTTTTGTCCAAATTCAAGTGTCAGCAAGTATTTTCTAGAATCAAATGTCCTCGATCGTTCCCAAGAATCAAATGTCCACGTTCGTTCCCGAAAGTCACATGTCCACAGTTCTTAAGAAGAAAAGTAAGTGAGACAAAGGTTGGTAGCGGTGAGAGTTGGGCGGAGTCTGATAGAAGTTCTATCCACACTGATCATAATATAGACCTGTCTCCAGAATATTCTACAGTTATTAATGAAAACGAGACTATAGATACCAGACCTAAGGCACATCCGAGAAAGAATCATTATGATGACGTAGTAATGCAATTGGATGAGAAATCAGGTCAGAAAAGAATAGTTCCAACTTCCGATGATCACCTTGACGACGACATGGTTAAATCAGCTGATGACTCGACATTGTACACAAATGCAAAACTGGTAGAACAAAACAAATTAACGTGAGTGACTGTGAGATTTACAATTTGCAACTTAATCATATGGCATTTAAGATGATAAAGTACAGGTACTTTCTATCTAATATATATATCTCTTCAGAAAGTATCAAACTTAAAATTTTAAAAAAAGAATTGAAAACAACGAAAGCAATTTTATCTTTTTTATACCGTTAAAAGTAATATCAAAACATTTTTTGGTCAGTTTTGTTCGACGAGTGGTAATATTTTTCACAATGAAATTAACAAACTGTGAATTTTTATTCGAATGACTGTTTAGAACAATTGTACTTCTGTAAGGTGTAGAGTGACAGTCGGATTTTGAAAGATTGGTTGAAATGAATAAATGTATTCTTCCCGCAAAGTAAAAATGAAAAAAAGGATGCTTCGTATTGCGTAGCAAAGACATGTAAGCAAACACAGTACTTGATAAATTACATGCATATATTGGTGATTTTGAATCTGTTCAAAGTTTTGATTTTTCTACCCTATATACCACATTGCCTCACATTCTCATTAAGAAAAAATTCACACACCTAATTAAATGGGCATTTAAAAAGTCAGAATGTGAATATATATGTTCAAACTCTTTTAGGTAATTTTTTAGTAGCAATAAACAAAAAAACTATGTCAATTGGACATGCTTTGATACTTTATATGCCCTTGAATTTTTACTAGATAACATTTTTGTTCGCTTTGGAGATTCCGTATATCGTCAGGTTATCGGAATTCCAATGGGGACTAACTGTGCACCACTTATTGCGGACCTTTTTTTGTATTGCTATGAGTTACAATTTATGACAAAAATCAGCAAAGACCCATCGAAACCACATCTGATACACAAATTTAATAATACTTTTAGATATTTGGATGATATTTTGGCTCTCAATAATGACGACTACAGTATGTATACTAAAGAAATTTATCCTGTTGAACTTACTTTAAATAAAGCTAATACTAACAATGACCACTGCCCTTTCCTCGATCTTGATATCTATATCATTAATGGAAAGCTTAATACTAAAATATATGATAAAAGAGATGATTTTTCATTTCCTATCGTTAATTATCCATTTTTAGATGGTGACGTTCCCTTGTCACCATCTTACGATGTTTATATATCTCAACTTGTACGATTCGCTCGTGTATGTAACAATGTTTTAGATTTTAACGAGAGAAATTTATGTATTACTGAAAAATTATTACACCAGGGTTTTCGATATCACAAACTAGTCAAAACATTTACTAAATTTTATCATCGGTATAAGGACATCATTCGTAAATATAGCTCAACATGCAGACTTCTTATACGTTCAGGTATTTCACATCCAATTTTTTATGGAAATATTCTTTATAAAGCACAAAAATGTCAGTATTCACCTCTGAAGCTAACAAAACCTTTAAATAGACTTATTAAGAAGGGATATAGTTACGATACTGTTGTCAGGTCATTAAAGATTGCATATTTTGGCGTTAATATTGATTCACTTATAGGGTCTTTGCATCGGCACTAAACACATTTTTTTAAAAACCAGTTGTTGGCATGACACGGGTTATGTTCTTCTCATATATGTTATGATGGTATGATACTAAACCCCTAACGGGAAGGATTGTGCCTGATATTCATATGATGAAGACATAATCTTTCAATCAGTTTAATTGAAGTCTGGAGCTGGCATGTCAGTTAACTGCTAGTAGTCTGTTGTTATTTATGTATTATTGTCATTTTGTTTATTTTCTTTGGTTACATCTTCTGACATCAGACTCGGACTTCTCTTGAACTGAATTTTAATGTGCGTATTGTTATGCGTTTACTCTTCTACATTGGCTAGAGGTATAGGGGGAGGGTTGAGATCTCATAAACATGTTTAACCCCGCCGCATTTTTGCGCCTGTCCCAAGTCAGGAGCCTCTAGCCTTTGTTAGTCTTGTATTATTTTTAATTTTAGTTTCTTGTGTACAATTTGGAGTTTAGTATGGCGTTCATTATCACTGAACTAGTATATATATTTGTTTAGGGGCCAGCTGAAGGACGCCTCCGGGTGCGGGAATTTCTCGCTGCATTGAAGACCTGTTGGTGACCTTCTGCTGTTGTCTTTTCTATGGTCGGGTTGTTGTCTCTTTGACACATTCCCCATTTCCATTCTCAATTTTATTTACAATATAGAAGATTTTGAAATGGCATGACAGGAACAGATTTATTTAGTTGTAATCTTGAGGTTGAAATGGCATGACGGGAAAAGGTTAGTTGTAATCTTGAGGTTGAAATGGCATGACGGGAAAAGATTAGTTGTAATCTTGAGGTTGAAATTACATTAATCTTGTCAATGAGGTTGAAATGGCATGACGGGAAAAGATTAGTTGTAATCTTGAGGTTGAAATGGCATGACGGGAAAAGATTAGTTGTAATCGTGAGGTTATTAGAGCCAATAGTTTTGTCGTTTTTACCTAGCCAATATGATATACAAATAAAATAATGCACATATCTAAAAATCCCGAAAAGGTTTAATATTTAATCATAATGATTGTTTATTTTGCACTGTTAATTAATTCATACGATTTTGGTTATCTTAATCCGCTCCTCTATTTGAGTGCTCTCACATCCAAATATTTTTGGTTTTACACTTTTGACCTCTACCGTACCGGATGAAGTTCATTCCAAAAACGCTTGTCGATTGTGAGTACATTTTTTTCTTGAAGTTTGTAAGTAAGTTATTGATTAAATATGCAGAAATGATTACTTCAAATTTGTTTTGATATTATTTATCTTTACAGAAAATCAACAGACCTGTCTAGAATATATGCCTCTGTAAACAAGAGACAAAGCGATGTCAGTCCACAGAGCATACCAGTGCCTGCTGCACGTTCCAAAAGTCAGCTAAATATAGATCATATAGAATTTGCTGATGCCGGAGTTAGGAGTAGACCACATAGTTTCATTGGCGAAAATAAATTGTAAGCAATTGTTCTTAAAACTTGTGTACATATTCATTAATTAACCGCCTCGGTGATCTTGCGGTACAAACGTGGCGTGTTAACTAACCTCGAGTGCGGGACGTCATGGGTGCGATTAAATGCCAGGTCAAACCAAATATCGGAAAAACTATATTTACTTTTTCTTTGTCAAGCACGCAGCATTCAGTAGTTAGAGCTCGCAGTCAGAATAATTTATTCGAATGTTGTGATATGTCTTCTGCGAACAGTTAGCTTGTGAACCACCATCGTGTTTAAATTCCTACTCAGCGTGTCGATCTTATATATACAGGATCATGATTCATATTCGTATAACATAAGAATTTTTTCTCGGCTTAGCCTGCATGTTATTTTTGCCACTGGACGTTAAACATCCAACCATTTATGCTTAATTTTTCCACATTTGCATAAAATCGGTACTTTGAAAAACAACGTAAGCCAATACCATATATCGATATAAAAACTTATTCGACGAAAAAAGCAGCTGTACAACTAACACGATTCGATGTAAAAGAACTGAAGCCTGAATCATAAATGAACGTTAACTTTCCATAATTTTTAATAAAATTTTCCGCAAATCGTGCGGCTGAACTACTATGCCGAACGTACCAATTATTGTTCTGATAATGCACTCAAAAGAAAGTTGAGCAAGTAAAAAACAATTTTTAAAGTTAAATAATTAATAATACTTCATATAGTAGGGTGCCCAGTCAACAAATTTGATCGATTTGGGTTAACGGAATAACACACGGCTATATTGTATATCATTGGAAAGAGGAGAACAAGCCTCGTCGAAATATTGATGTCGTCGTTGTCTACAGTGGTCACGATTTTCTTAAATTTGGGTCAAAGGTCAAATCTCAAATTTCAAGGAAAACGTAGAGTCACGTTTAGACAGCTGGCCACCCCTACATATTTGCGTTTATAGCAAAATAAATTCGAATAATTCAAAAGGATTATAACTATAGTTTCTATATTTAAGACTAATTTGATAATTTTATTGCCAAATATGGTTCGAGATTGACATTTGTACTTGTAAGGTGCACATTTACAATTTTCATTCAGCTGTTAAATAACAGTGACCTTGACCTTTTAAAAGTTCCAAAATCGAAATTTTTACATAAGATTCGATACAAGTGATCTTTAGAGATGTTTTTTAAATACTAACATTTATAAGTTGCCCTCCCAAAATGTTATTTTTTCCGTCTTTTGATAGAAGGTGTTCGTCATGATTTTCTGGGTAAATATCCAATTTTCTTTTGGTGAACGTGGAAGCACATCAAATAGTACTTAGTTCCAAAACTGATGAATATTTACGCAGAATTGATTGAATTAGCAGGTCTGAGTATATATTTGCTTTACAGAAATAAAAAAAAAAAACTGCAAACGGTGAAAAAGGGGGAGGGTTTATGTTACAAGTTATGAAAACAAAATGAGAATAGAAACAGCAGGCTAATCACTCCATCTTACACACTTATATCAAGTGTAATGTACATGACTTATTGAACATAAATTGGCCTACAATTGACATGAAGTTAAAGATTATCTACAAAAAGAAAGTTTTGCACAGCATCGATGTATTTCACAAACACTTGTAAACAACATCAATCTAATTAAAATATAGATCTCTGATTTCGCTATCTTCATTTGAGCTTATATATAAGAGCACGCGAGTTAATAAAGATCAGAATTTTAATAAGAGCGAAACAACATAGAAAAATTGCCGAAGCTAGTAGTAGCTATTACGTTTCATTGTCTACTGTTAAGTTGAAAGCCCACCGACTAGGTGTAGGTAAGAGAGATAATTTCAGTTGTTCTTTTTTAAATCGCATTCGACGCAAGAAGCAGAATGCGAGGCATACAGAATACAATCTGATGGTGGTGGCGGCAACACCGTAAACTATATATAGCTTTATATTTCAGAGGGCAGAGGAACTGGATGATTCATACTTTGTATATAGATTCATTGTGTTACGAAGTTTCCGTCATATAATCATTATCCTTGACCTCATATTCATTGTTAAGTGACTGCTAATAAACTGTATAGCTTTTTTCGTCATGTGAATGTCTCAATTATCATGAGTTCTAGGATAACTATATTTGGTTACTAATATATGGTATCCTTGCAAGGTCTACATGACCGTCAGACATGATTCACCTGACCTCTACCTAATTTCACGGATCAGTGAATAAGGTTAAGTTTCAGTGGTCAAGTCCGTATAGTCTCAGATAGTAGTGGGTTAAATATATTTGGTGTATGGAATGGTAACAAGGTGTACATGATTTTGTTGCAGAGTTCATCTGACCTTACCTCATTTACATGGAACATTGATAGTGTTAATTTTATGTAATACTTGTTGTATAATATAAAAATTAGGAGATGTGGAAGCAAGCAATTATAGGCAACCGTACGGCCTTCGACAATGTGAAAAACTCTTACCGTATGGTCGGCTATAAAAAGGTCAGTTATGAAAAAAATTAAAGAATTAATTTGAAAAAAAACTAACGGCCTGATTTATAACAAAAGCTAGTGTAGTTTTTACGATAATGATGTTTATGATCATACTTTTCTCAGACTATTGATGACGTCCTTTCATTAGTTTTCAGTAAGGTAACACCCATTTGATTTCGAAAACAGGGAGGGAATGAGGATTTTGAAAATGAATTACTTTAATTGGCCTGGTATGAACTGAAATAATTGACTTTGCATGAGAATGAACCCTCTTCAACATGAAATGCAGGTTAGTTGAGGATATGGATGTGTACAAAAGTGAAAATGAATTTTCGCGCCGCCAGCCCCATCCCTTTCTTCAGAATATAAAATGTTCTACCCTAACGGCGAGTACTATTATATCGGTACTTTGCGTTTTTTGTCTTCATGTTAGTTGTTTTTGTGCTTCATGCCGATTTGATAAGTCAAGCCATTTCAAACTGTTTTTTCCAGCAGATTATTCTTATGCTGTGTTGTTATACCATTGTCCAGGTCAGGGGAGGGTTGAAGGATCACTAACATGTTTAACCCCTCCAAATTCTGTATATGTCTGTCCAAAATCAGGAGCCTGCAATTAAGTGGTTGTCGTTGGTTGCTGTCTGTTGTATCTGTTTTTTTTTGTTGTTGCACGAACGGTGGTACATTTTTATTGTCGTTCCCACTGAGAGGGATTTAGGTCGAAAACATCATATAAGACTTTTGATGTACCATATTCCGGGTGTGAAACAAAACCGACCGATTTGATTCTTATACTACAATTATAACAAAATATTTATTCAATAAAAAGTTTAAAGTTTTGAAAAACAGACACAAAGCATATTTCTCCGAACAAAGTGACAATCTACAAAGTTAGTTGGCTATTCACAACAAATAAATCAACCACACAACAAGCAAAAAAGACAAATGTTTTGAGTGACCTCTGTCCTTGTTTTTGACCTAATAGTGTAAGCAACAAAATGATTAATGGCACGATATAATCCGTGTTTAATCAATACCAAAATGTTGACTTAATTTGTGTTTTTAATTGCTAATTTCTTCAAAACGATTTTTATTTCACGCATGCAATTTGGCACACACATGCACTGTGCCTTATTGATTAAATCAGATTAAAAAAATATTGTGATGATACATGTAATAATTTTGCTTTCGATGAAAATAGGGTAAATTTCGGGTAAAATTTTACTCTTACTAAAATGCTGAAATACTTATATCAAAATCACTTAAATACTTTCCGATTTCGTTATATGATATATTTAATATATAAACTATATTATAGGTACTGTTTTGACTACCAACAAAGAACGCAGTAATTTTATTTTTCATGTTAAAGATTCCCCGTACAATACGGTATCTGGTGGTACCCTGTAAAAACACGAAATTTAGAAAATCGTGACCACAGGAACTTACGACGACAATCATGATTGTAAAATATAATGATTTTCCTATAATGTGCAAAAAAATCAGCCGTGTGTTATCCGTTAACTTAAACTCGTTAACTAGAGGACTTTTTGGACATTGGGCACCCTACTAATATGTTATTACTGATATTTTTGTCACTGATAATTTAAATTTTTTTATGTTTTCTAGAAATCTCTTCACAATCGACATTGATCAACCAGACAGGAGAACAACAACCAGCAAGACATTCGGGAAAGGCCCAAAACAGACGGAACAAAATGGCGACGATGATAAACTGCCAGACCCGCCATCTATTTCAGATACAGAAGACAATTTATTGGACAGTGACGAAACATTGACAGAAGAAAGAGCATTTAGAAACGATGCGCTCCATTCTGATGACAATTCAAAGAATGTTGAGAGAGAAAACATTAAATCAAGTTACACAAATCTTTATGATAAAACCGAAAACCAGAACGAGACCGGAACTCAAACCGAGACCATACTGTCGTCGCCAAAAAAATTCCCTTCTATCAAACCTCCAAACATGGACAGTTATATAATCACGGATAAACATAAAGAAAAAAAATTTTCGAGCGTATAGTTGCTAATACTAGTATTCAAGAGTATATTATCTGAGTGACAGAAGAGGCGTCTCAAGTTGAAATAACTCACTGTTCCTCTATCGTGAATGAGCTTTAAATTGCTGTTTCGGAAGTCGTACATATAACAGATGCATTAACACAAAGGACCAACCTCTGTTTGAAAATTGACGTCAATGTGCCTGTTTCAAAGGAAACGTACGAATTTTTTTCATAATGTAGACATTTTTTTAAACTCGGATATATTTAAATTCTTTTACAAGTGGGTAGGATATAGCTCGGAATATGGTTCTTGTCCATGTCCAAAGCAGAAGGGATACTGTTTTAGGTGAGGGTGGGAGTTTAGTCGTAGTTATTGTTTTTACTTGCTATAATTAAAATTGAAGCGTACTTAATCAAGTATTACTACTGAAATCAATACATTTGTTAAACAAAAAAATTATAATTCCACTAAAATATTTTGTCGGTGAAATTGACCAGTTTGACGTCACCGATTTTGTTTCCAAATTCCATAGAATTATGTTAAATTCTAAATATTGCTGTTAAAGTTAGAACTAAATTATGATCTATTTATACGATCGACGTAGAGATTATTAGTAGAATATGTTTGCCTCTTTTTGTGGTTTTCCGTAATATTACAGACACGAAAAAGTAGTTTTGGTCCAATGCACATACGATGGGAATAAGAGGAAATTGAGACCGTCTCTAAAACGTAACCATGAATAATAGCGGGAATTATTTAAAAATATCTAGAGCATACGTTAACCAAAGAACGGAATATAGAAATATTTAAAAACTGATTTATTATTTAGACCATTTTTTTATTTGGTCAGTTAAAATATATCTACACGGAGAGGTTATGCAATTATGTGGTATATTGTGCTATTCAAGAAACAGTATTATCAACAAATCAGGGTATCAGTCAAGTGTTTTAATTTTATTGTACATGTATATCATTTACATATTGATAAAAGACATTATACACAGGGGTTACTATGTGCAATTGTTGTAACTGTAATTGGTAAGAATATGTGACTGATAGAATTTCTGATGCATTTTGGGTAATGAAAAGACAAAGGAATAAAATGACTAAAAAGCATCTTATGTCGTTTTTAAACAAAAAGGGTGTTAATGTCACGTTTCAAGATCTTCAGAATTTTTTACTTTATCATTTTATCATGTTCAATGTTTGTCCAATGCTTGACGAGACGCAAATGTTCAATTTACGACATTGGTCCAAATAGATATATACACTTGTTGGTTTATATTCTGTGATTTGAATAAAAGGACATTTCGGATATACGTTAAAGCGACCGACCACATCTGTATTCAGAAAGACAAAATAACCCATTTAGACAGTACTAGTATTTGATCTTTATGTAATTTTGGTCGAACAAAGTTGAGAAAATACTAGAGGTCATAACTACAAACCGAAGAAATACAGGACACGACGGAAAAGGTACACAACAGTCCAAAACAAAACACAAAAAAAAAAACCTAACGGATTTAGCAACACGAATCTTACCTAGAAATCGTACTTGATAATCAATATTTTACTCCACTAATAGAATTAATCGTGAAAGTAAAAAAGCTCATTCGCCTCGAGTGCGGGAGGTCGTGGGGTCAAACACCGGTCAGGTCAAACCAATGACATTAAAATTTGTATTTGCTGCTCTTGCTGAGCACACGGCATTAATTAGTGAGAGAAAAGACTGGTTGATATGCTAGATATATCTATTGGAAGTGATGAGATGATTAAAGCCAAAATGTTCTCCTTGACAACATTTATGTACGTTTCGGCAATAAAGTTATTCGACAGATTGTAGGTATTCCTATGGGCACCAATTGTGCCACTTTAATAGCAGATTTGTTCCTGTACTGTTATGAATCACAGTTTATGGCAAAACTCAGGAAAGACCCATCTAAATTCCATTTAACTGATAAATTCGACAACACTTACCGTTATCTTGATGATATTTATTCGTTAGATAAACAAGAACTCTCTAAATATACTGCCGAAGTTTACCCAAAGGACCTTAGATAAATAAAATATTAACAGCAATAGGTATCCTTTCCTAGATTAAGACATTTTAGTTTTAAACCAGAAACTCTACACAAAACTTTACGACAAAAGGGATAATTTTTCTTTCCCTATTGTTAATTTTTAAAAAATTCCTTTTTTTGACGGTTATGTTCCTTTGGCACCGTCTTACGGTGATTATATAATATCCCAACTCGTTCGCTATGCCTGTGTCAGTAGTGACATTTGGATTTCAATGAGCGTAATCTATGTATTACTGGTAAATTTAAAGACAGGGATTTCGTTACCACAAAGTACTTAAAACCTTTACTAAATTCTTCCATAGATACAATATTTGGTTGGCAACTTTGGCTATTCATGTAAAAAACTTATTTCAGACGGAATAGCACATTCTAAACTTTACGGTGATGTTGTTCACCGAGCCCGCAAAATTTATACACGATATGGGTAAACTTATCAATCTTTTAAATAAACTTATTCTAAAAGGTTACCAATTCAACACTGTAACTAGATCTTTGAATATTGTTTATATTGGTATGAATATTAATTTTGTTATCAGTAAATTAAAACCAAACTTAATAGTATTGTTATACACATATGCACTTACACGGTACCACAATCTGTCGATACTTATATTTTTGCATCGCACAAGGTCATGTTTTTCTCTGATTGTTAATGACGTCTTTACATTAAATCCATTGGATGTTGGATGTGTAGTGATTGATATTTTAGTCTTAGATACATGATTTCTTTTATTAGTTGTTATTGTCTTTGAACTAGATGACAGTAACTGCGAGTACTTTCAGATCTGTATTTTGTGTCTTGTTTCGTTGTTGCTAGGAATGTATAAATACCCTGTCACGTCATGTCTTTGTTTTTGTAAGATGTTTTTCTGCTTTGTATCGATCTGATGAGTTAAGCCATTTTCAACTGGTTTTTTTTATGTATCTTATGTTGTGCTGTAACACCACTATCCCAGGATAAAGGAAGTGTTGAGTGCTCACAAACATGTTTTGCTCCGCCACATTCTGTATGTGCCTGTCCCAAGTCAGGAGCCTGTTATTCAGTGGTTGTATTTTGTTCATGTCTGTCATATTCTTTTTTCGTAAATTGTTTTGTTATAAATGAGGCCGTTGGTTTTTTCAGTTGAATCGAGTCATATTTTTTATGTCGGGGGCCTTTTATAGCCGACTATACGTTATGTTTTTCTCATTGTTGAAGGCCTTACGGTTGCCTATAATTGCTTACACCAACTTCATTTGAACTATGGTGAATAGTTGTCTCATTGGCAATCAAACCACATCTTGTTATTTTTATAATGGTCAACTCGTAGACAGAATAATGTGTCCGGTTAGGGTGACATATCTTCCTGCGGACTGTTACCTTGTGAACTAGCACGTTTAACATGTTTAAAATCCTTCTAACCGTGTCGGTCTAGTACAAAGCAAGGTCAATATTCATATTGCATTAACATGTTCTCATCCTGAATATATATGCATTTAATTTGCCACTGGAAGTTAAACAGCCATCCATCATCTTCATAATACATGTACCACGAACACATTTCTCATTCAAAATATCGACAAGAAAATACTCTCAAATCGCTTATCTAAAGTTTGAAACACTGTTAATTGATTACAATAATATTATTTCCTTTATTTAATCTATATTTTAATACTGCCCAGATATTTACTCTTTGAAATTCACAAGATTCTTATATACCGTTTACATGATTCTTATATACCGTTCTACCGTTCATTACATGCCAGTAATATGGTGTGTCGCTTTATTTGTATTTGTTATTCATGGTCAGAGTTGTAGCTGTGTACGAAATATATCTCCGTTATTTTTATAAAATTGATATGACAAGCAAATTCAACTATTAACAATTTATACTACTTAATAGGTTGAGTGGACTATTAACCTTTCAAGAATAATCGTAAATTCACATACATAAAAACTTCAAACATGTACTTCCTCATTTGACAACACAAATAATTTAGAACTAAGTGTTTAAAAATACCATTCGAATATCAATTTCGTATTACAGATCAACTCGTATAGTTTCGTCACATTTTGTAAAGTAAGGTTGAACGAGATTTTATTATTCGTTGTATTCAAACAAAATAAAAGCGAATTCAATCTTTATATGACATAAGATTTTTTTAAATACAGTACAACTGCCCACTAGAGTCCAAATGACGAGGATATAAGCAACTGTATACAATAAAAGTTATGCAGATTTTTAACGTATTAACGAACTTTCAATTGTATATTTAAACTCGTTGAAATATTATATAATTATAAATGTTAAGAGTTGCGAAACATTTTCGGTGATTTTGCATGGAATTGTAATCTCCCTCAAATAGTCATATCTTTAATATTGAAGTTTAAGAAATATCTAAGTTTGATCATTCATTATTTCAGAGAAATCCTGATTTCAACACATTTTAATTTTTTTTTTGTTTTAGAAAAAATACAGTTTGTGGTTTACTGGCATGACTGGAAAGATGCAGCAGACTTGTAGAAAAAAGCCAAGAACATTCCAACTAGCACATTTTTGTATGTTCTGTTTTCTTGACTACTACTGGATAGTGTTTGATGATGTAAAGAGTTCACATCTTACAGCATTTTTTCGATCATGCACGACTTCTTCGTATTACAATCCTGAATCACATAATGTATAATCTCAGTACATGTACACAACAACTTGTATACCTGCATCCTTTATATGAGTCTTAGATTTGTAGTAAATTCTCATAGTTAAGTGATGTTATGCATTAAAAAAAGGATATATAACACCCTTCGGTCATAAAACTTGAGTCAGTACTCGGAGTACAAAATCTGTGCTCGAAACACAAAATCCAGCATTTTGATTGGTGGAATTCTGAGTCTGAGTATGATAATCGTACTTCAAATTTTTATGACCGCAAGGAACGTTACAGTTTCTGTTCAACAATCATCATAATTTACATACTAGTTAAACTTGAAAATTAATATCATGCGCAATTGTTAACTAACACAATCAAAGTAATTCATGTGTTACGTTCAAAATACCCATCGAAGGTTCAAACAATGCATGTTTTAACAATTTATGAATTAATAGATGTTTGCTATTAAAGAGTAATCATTTTATATTGGTAGTTCGATTATGATTTCAGCATAAAACACAACTGTTAAACTACATACATGGGATCTGGTAAATGATCATCTACAATTTTCAAGTTCTTTTGGCTAATACTATAATTATTATAATAAATATTGAATTTGAATCAGTAAACAAAGAAGACCACAACGTTGTATATAGTTGATGTAAGTACACTGTACAATACAGAGATAGTAAAAACTGGCATAACAAATTATAATGCGACAAAACAGATTGTTTCAATTTTCCAATTGTGAACTTTCAATTTTTGTGTAGCAAATTTACTGCAGCGCCTATACATGGAGTTTATATCTCCCAGTTGGTATGAAGTTCCAGGACTTGCATTTCCTATCATGATTCACTTGATAGAGGGTTACTGCTTACAAAGAAGCTACTGCATCAAGGATTCAAAAATGTCTAAGTTGAAGTCATACCTTCAAAAGTTTGACGCACTCCATTATGATTTGGTTGCAAAATAACAAATACAAACACCAAAAAGCCAGTAAACATATATATATATATATATATATATATATGTGTGTCTATAGTTTATTTAATTTTCTGAGCAGTTCTGATACAGTTACAGGGGAGGTAATGACGTTGTTAACGTTTTTATCATTCAAACTGATTTAACTTGAAAACGAGTTCATAGACCCCTCTTTTTTAAAATGACATTCGGTTTGATTACGTATCAAGATTATTTGTACCAATTTTCATGAAAAAGTCAATAATGCAATTTTTTTAAATTTGATAAATATACAGCAAAAAATGACGTTTTTTTCTACATTCATGAACATTTGATAAATTTGAGTTATTTCTAAACAAAAGATTTCATAAATTTATAGGATACTTATATAAAACAGAAAATTCAAATAATTTAACAAAAAACAGCTTGTGTTTGTCTTTTGAAACA